GGGGAACTCGGTGCTAGGCGCTATAGGCCGTGTCCACGACACCCAGCACCAAGCTGACGTGCTCCGCTTTGCGCGCCCGACTTCGGATTTCAAGTGCCATTCTCGGCATGTTTCCAATTGTTGGGAGTAACGGTTCCCTGATGTTTTGAAAACGGATTCAATGGCCACATCGACGGGCGAGTACCATGGGTTCCCACCACACTTCTCTCCCCCCAACCGACGGACCCGCTTCACCCACCCATGTTTTGGCCCATCCGGTGGCCTTGGCCCCCCCCCACCTGGGGCTTGGCACCAGGGGCCATCACCCTGCCACCCTTGGGCTCCTGCCTTACGCGATGTCTGTGACCAGATGGTCGAAAAACCCGCCGCCCCGCGGAGACCGAGCGAGGTGAAGGTGGAGGCCATGGAGCTGCGGGCGAAGATCGCCGACGCCGGGAACCCCGCGCGGCGGTCGAATTGCGCGACGGGTCCGACGACGAGCGACGGAACGCCCCACATGAAGCGATATGAAGACTGGACGCTGGGAGAGGTCATGGGACTGAGATGTCATAACACTATGATTTGTGATAACCGACACTATTTGTGATATATATAACCGTGAATACCATGATTTGAGAATCACGACGTGGAACTCTGCTTCTCACCCCCCTTGGGCCTAGGTCCTGGCCCACATGTCCAACAAATGGACCTTCAAACACGGGACGGAGTCGATCAACATGTCGTGCGCCAGCTTCTGGCGATGAGGTCGTCAGCGTCGGTTGTAAAGAGCAAAAGCAAACGAGATCCAGTGCCTTCTGAAGCTCTTGGTCAAGTTAGATCTTCATGTATAGACCTCTATTTAAGCAAGGTAGCATGTTTTGTGCCGATCATACTGGAACGAGGCCGAGTTGTTGTAAACTGACCTGACTTGCCGACTGTGTCACGGGCTCCTACATCCAGGGGTGCCAAAAAATAGTCTATGGATGTCGGTTCAGAAAAGCAACCCAACATCACATCCGCAAGAAATGTCGCAAAATCGCTGAGTCATGCAGATCCGGATCTTTGGCTTCTTCTGAAGAGCTGTGTGCTGTGATTGTAATTTTTGCTCTTCTTCACAATCGTAAATAAGACAAATATATATATATATATATGCATATACTGCCTTGCATTTAGGGTTTGATACCTCAAAACGCAGAAAGAGATTCAGATAGGACCACCAAGTCTCGACCTTGTATCTCATAGTCATGCACATTGAACTGTTTGCTGCTGTGACTTCTGGTTTTTGAAAAAAGAACAATCCATGTTTGCAGGTACTCCTTCTCGCGCTCCGAGCCCAGTACCGGCCGCGGGGACGCCCGAAGCGACGCGACGCGGGGGCAGGGCGGCATGGGCAGAGGGAGTCACCTTTTGGGTCTTTCTTTTCTCTGCCTACCTAGTCACCCTTTGATCAGCTTTGTGACTATTAAGGGAGTCAGGGAGTCACATGGGTTGATCCGTTTAACAGTTTGATGGTCAGCTTGATCAGGTCTGGACACACCGGGCCTTGGCCAAGCCTTTGTCGATGAGGCCGGGCAGACCTTGAGGTCCCACGCTCGTCCGAATGGACGCAGTAGATCATGTAGATCCACCCGGCGAGGGTGTTTGGAAGGAGCCCCTAGTAGCGTCCGAACGCTCCGTTCGTAGCGATGCCAGGAGCCCCGTTCGTAGCTTCTTGTTCCTAGTAAGGCCAGGAGCCCCGTTTCGAGTCGCGTCCGAACGCTCCTTCGGAAGGAGTCGCGTCTCTGTGTTTTTCTGATCACCTCGAGTGGTGACGTTGAGCAGCTCACGTCGAACGCCACAACGCTGCAGCGTTCTCGACTCGAACGAAAGAGCCCTGCAGATGGGAACTGCGGGAAAGAGCCCTGCATTGGAAGCGTTTGGTCTTTTTCAAGATAGGCATGAACCACACCGATAAGGCATTTTTCATCCTTTTTCTCTTCTGTTCGGACAACCTAAAACCCAACGCCGCACTCGATGTTGCGAGGTGGTGTGGCTCTTTCCGAGGGACTTCTGCCGGCAGCCCAGAGATTCATCCCAGGGTGAGCCAAAGGCTTGTTCTTACGATATCCAGCCCTTCTTTCAACTAGCTTTGCGCACAGACTGATAGTGGTGAATGGCTGACGGCCTCCTGTGTGCTCCGGGCAACTTGCCCTCCACGATTCCGTGAATTACAAGACCTGTTGCATGGCCTAACTTTGCCCAAGTCTGCTCTGATTTCTGATACGCCACACAACTGAAAGCAACAGGCACCGCAGCAATCCGGTGACGGCGGCATTTCTCACCATACGGACCGGCGGCATTTCTCACCATCGCGCAGCGCCACCGCCGGTTGCGCCGTGGTTTTCCCGTGGACTCTACCAAGGCCTTGAGCACATCGTGCTGTGGGGCCATGTCATCGACAAGACCTGACTGGCCCGGAGCCGAGAGTGACCGCCCCACCGAACACAAGCGAACCCCTGAGTGAGCCGATGACAGGCATCCGAAAACCAAGGTTAGCCGTGAGTGGGCCTACCAAACGGCTCGACTCATCATCAGTGGGGTTCCCTGAGTGTGAAAGTTGTGTGTTTTCTCCACACCTGATTCTTTTTGTTGCGTGTTTAGTTTTAACATGAGCTCAAAGTCCAGAAACATGGCTTCAACCGCTGTGCCTTGCGCCGCCAATCAAAGTGGCACGGACCTTGTCTCCGAGCCTAATTTCCAGCGGTTCTCATTCCTTTAACTTGAGGCCTGGGCTTTATGGAGAAGAGTCATGAATTTATCTCATGGGTATCTCACGAGGGTGTCTCACACGTTTTTTTTGTTAAAGCTTTATTTCCCTCACCTTTTTGTTTCGTTTTCTTTGGGAGAGGGGGATAGCTCTTTGGAGTTCGCAGGCGAAGATGCCACGCCAGGCGTGTTTAAAGCAGTTGGTCGAAATGAAGAAAGCCAGACGCCGGTGCAAGATGAAGACCAGCATATGATTCAGAGTGGTTCCTGGGCAAGTGTATGTTTGAAAAGGAAGGTGCCTCACAGGGCCTCAACTCGGTGAATTTCAGATGGATTTTTAGTCTGTTTTCCCTTTTGTCAGTCTGGCCCAACGCACTTGCTTTCAGGCCTGCATCCAGTCTAGACTCCGTTAACTCTCGATGCAGCAGAAGGCCAGAAAATAGATCTCATTGACTCATTGACTCAAGACTTGAAGGTTGTTGCTCATGGTGCATTTGAAGTCATCACAACCGTTGCATTGTACTCTGCTGTACTGACCCGTGGCGCTAGAACAGCCGATGCTCTGGGAGCCCGCTGAGCAACCGGAAACTGGCGGCTCAAAACTGGCTTTGACATGCTTTGACTCGGTGTTCGGGTCCACGTTCAATGAAGGGAGTTTAGGACCCCGTTTCCCAGCTCCCACAGAGTTTGGGTGACACTTTGTGGAACACAAGAATCCTTAGGTGCCAGTTCTTGAACCAGCGGTAGTACACACCGTGCTTGAACTCCAACTAGATCTTCGGAATGTTCTGTTCCGGTCTCAGTGATTTCCAAACATTTGCGAAGCTGATCGTTTGGGAGGACACCCCCCAACAAGTGATTGATTGCGGAGTTCTTTTGTGTTCAACAAAGCCTGCCGTGTGTTTCTGTTTGTTCGACTGCGCTGGGCACCTATTGAAGCATCGCTTGCGACTGAGGGTGATCAGACAAGTAGTCTTAGGAAGGGCCGGCAGCTGTCCAGGGAACGCAAGATGCTTGCATCTTAGGGTGACACAGGAAATTTGATGAGCCAAAAGCGGGGGATCTCTTCTTCTATTGACATTCTTGCCACATTTGCGAGTCTCAGGGCATTCATTGGATACATGCGGATTTGGCTTGAGAGAGACTTTGCAAATATCAAGTGCACAACAGACTATGAACCGTGCAGTTCATTTCACTCGCTCCAACACACATGTAAATTCTCCGGTCCAATTAACCAGCTGTCATCTTAGAGTCATCTTAGTCTAGCGGTGCAAGCTGACCCTCTGCTACTGCCGGCCTCGCCCAAACATAAGCCAAGACCAAAAAAGCGCGACTGCCGTCGAAGGCCGTCGACGGCCGTCGACTGCCGTGTGCAGCTCCGCCGAGTAGTTCCCACCCGGGTTTTTCCAAGATCAGACACATGTGGGTGTTATTTCTTATATAGCACGGGTAGACTGGTTCTATGATGTCTGTTTTTGAAAGGGTCGCACTGGAAGGTCTCCCTCTTTCAATACACACCCCACATATCAAGACGCTTCATTCCGAATGCTTGGCTTTGAGAGGTGTACTTCTCGTTCGGACGACGGACCAGTGGTTAGGAGCATGTAAAGCTGACTCGAAGAAACATGGTGACACTGATGGGTCAACAGAACAATAGACCAAACAGATGCGCGGGTGCCACTGGCTTCAGCCAAATGAAGCTCTTGTTTCTCATCCGAACTGGCGGACGATCTCCGGACCGACGATTGGAGCCACCACAGGCTGACGAACGCGACCCCGAAAGCCATAGAAGACGGGAGATAGGACGATTTCTTTGTTTGGATCTGAAGGGATGTCATGTCGGTGATCTCTGAATCGCTCCTTTGGGCTCCGAGCTTGTAGGTCATGAACGAGCGAACGACATGGTAGGGATGTTTTCGTTCACAACTGCCTGTTCATGCAGCAAGTAACGGGGTGTGTTTTTTTTTTTTTTCCGTGACGGACAAGCTCTTAGAACATCGGTTTTTTTGGTTCTAAGTGGTTTTTCCTACCACTATATATCCATTCTCCTTGGGCAACAAAAAACCGTCTCCGTCACACATCCCATATGTGGCCCGAACGATGCCGCTCAAGACACCGTCGGGTTGTCGTACACCTCGCCGGTGACGCCGGTCATGACTCTTAGATGTTGAGGACGGCAGACGCTTCGGGACCAAAATGAACAGTCGCTGCCACTCGCCTTTTCAGAGTCATGATTGGTCATGTATTACAATATATGATACTTCATGATACACAATCGGTACAACGCATTTCTGGACCACCCGCTGTCAGCGGCTTGTCAGCATGGCCATGGCGCCAGAGCTGCGCGGGGCCAACTCCTTAGCTTGGCTGTTGTGATTTGTTTGAAGGGTTCGAGCTGGGTGAGAGCTGGTGTTGACTATGCCACTATGCACCTTGGGGGCCTTGGTGAGGCTTTCGATGTGGCTTCTCATTCACAATCCAATCGGCCCAGCGACCTTTACATAGCCTTTTGCCACCCTCCATCCACTTCCTGTGGAAAGAACCTAGAAGCTGGCAGCCGATGGTTTCACTTGAATCCTACATCAACCAGGTCGTCAGTGCACCCGGGGCACAAAGTAGGACTCTGCAGCTTTCGTAGTGCATGAATGAAACTGAAGCCTTTGAGTTTGAGTCTAGTGACTAGTGTTCTTCTACAGATCTTGAGGTAGCAGAGATCATGCGATCTATACTGCAACCATTTCGGGTCGCAAAACAACACTGCCAACAGCACCAGACCTCAGGGTTTTGTTTCCTCGACGAGGCTCTCAAGTCTGTGGGTGGTAGTTTGGTGAATCCTTGCCAGTCAGTTTGCTGAGTCCTGCATGGACATTGCAGCCAGTGGGTTCAAAGAACTTGGTCATCGTAGTTGCAGATTGGGGTTACGCCATGATGAAATGCTTGCTCTGTGGCAGATACAGCTCCGAACCTGGATAACAAGGCTGCCCAACTCAAGGAGGCAGACAAGGAGGTTCTGAGAAAGCTTCAGGTCTGCAAAGGCAGCGACTGTGAGAATGAGGCTGCTCAGCTTGACAAAGCAGAAGAGACGAAGCAAATAATATTGGACACCATACAGGGACGCTTTGAGGTGGGATAGGTTGAAATTGCTCCAAATCCAAAACTGTGCAGATGCTTTCTGCAGGTTTTGTGGTGGTCACTGTGTCTTACTTCTTCATTGTGCCAACTTAAGTGATAGGTTGTGACAGGGCTGTGATGTCCTTCTGAAGTATTGAAGGAATATATATAATATATAATATATACATAAATTGGGGGGAACACAACACTTGTTTCAATGTAATATGTATTCTATAGTCTTTTTTCTTCGTGTCTTTTCTGCATGATCACTCGTCATATATATATATATAAAAATATATTATATAGTACATAATATATATATCGACAACAGGATCTTGGCGTTGTGAATTGCAGGTGTGGAAGTGTAGCAAGGAGCCGGTCAGCAAGGAGTAGGCGCTCTCCCAGAGGAACAACCCGCGAGGATCTTTCCAGGCATTCCTTTGTACCTGGGAGAATCGAGTGACGCAGGAGCGATGTGCCCAATCTTTTAAGCTGGGAATTGGCTGCGTGGTGAACCTGAAGCTTCTGAGAAGGTCATTGGGACACATTTGGGTTCAAGAATCGAGGCAAGAATCAATCACGTGCGTGACAAGGACGACAGGCATTCTCAACCCAGAAAAGACAGCGCAGGAGCGTGATCCAAAAGCGCCATGGATGCGGTGTGAGCTGTCATGCGACTTTCAATTGAATGGTGCCAGACGCCACAACCAACTGTCAACACGACGTTGGTGTGCCCCAAAAAGCATCCAACATGGGACCAGCGAGGCTTGGGTTATCTATTCGGACGTATCGCAGCCCTGGTCGTGCCAACATGCGCCAGCATGTAGTTCAAACGCAGGTTCATGAACAGAATTCAAGTTCATCTCCCAAGGATATACTCCCACACTTAGGGGGGCTTAGGCGAATCTCTCAACTTCTCCCCAACATTGACCTGGGAACATCAACAGCCCAAAACCAAACACATCGACTGGGTCCAGCCACTTGATCCTAGAAGGACAAATCTTTGAGCCGAGCTTTTTCAACCCCTCCCAGGATGCGGAAGCCATGCAGCAGCTGCTGGAAGATGAGCAGCTAGGCGAGCGGACCATGTTCGCTGGCAACGGCTTGTGCCTTCACGGGACGTCCCGTGCTGTTTTCGGTGTCACGTGCGCATTGATGGCTGCTCCATCGACCACACACGCGTGTTCGATGAACTAGGCAAGTGCAAACTGGACATGTTTTTTGTCATGATTACTGTATTACTTATATATTTATGAAAAAGTGCACTGCCAGGGCCTGCCGTTCTGTATATTTATTACTTATTATATATTTATTTGCAAACAGGCAAGTGATTACTGTATGACTTATCTATTTTTTGCCACTCCAAGAATCCAATCCATTCCATTTCGGGAGGCGCTGCACTGCGCCGGCCTTACCGGCCCCACTGGCTCCACCTGGGCTGGATCGCTTCCACCGCCGGAGCCACTGTCAAAGGCGGGCGGATGTACAGACCAGGTCTGCGCCGTCCATCGCTGTATTTGGTCTTTGGATTTGCAGAGAGAATCAAGTCATTTCGTCTTTGAAAGTTGAATTTAAGTCAGGGACCTGCTTCTATAGACAGTTTGGGTTTTTCATTGAATTAGAACATATTTTTTTTTGCACATGTTCAACTCGGTTTCTTGGTCATGTCTAGCTTCGTCTTCCGCGAGGGTTTGGCTGCCGCTTTCTCCCCCTGCTGGGTCGCCCTTAGGGCGCCTCGAAACCGAAGAGTTCATAGGATTCAGTTCGGACTGCGTGTTCCGTGGATTGAGCATACTCATCATATGGAATTGAGCATGGAACCTTGCTGTTCCGTTCCCGAAAACGGCCAGCTGGTTCGGTGCCTGATCGACTCAGGCATCCCAATCCCTCGAACTTGGAGAGATTCTGAGGAGCCGTGGATGGGGCAGGTCATTCGGTGTACGGCTGGTAGGCGCATGAGATGAAAATCATGAAAGAACTCAACACCCAACCTGCTGCCTGACTTAAAAGATCTGCTTTCTTATGTAACCCCAGGAGAAGAAGTTCACGTTGAAGGATGGTGGCACGGTGTCTCTTGATTGGTGGCTGCTCAGCAGCAGCTTTCGTTGAAGCGACAGCGATGCAAAGGTGGGGACCTAAAGATCCTTTGCGGCAAGCCAGTCGGTTGCTCATTGCACCCTGTTGCCACAAGGCAGGGACAACACACGGATCGTCCAGTGGTTTTGGTGCTACCTGGTATGGCCAATAGCAGCCGGAGCATTTACATCCGCTATACGATGGCACGCTTGGCGGAGGCCGGTGGGAAGCCCGGCAGGTTTCCCAGCTCCCGAAGGCAGGTTTCGAGTCAGGAGTTCTGGTCTCCAAGGGGAGAGGGTTCTGATGCCAAAAGCTTACTGTGTTTGTCAAGGCAGAGCCTCTAACAGAGCAGAGCATCCTATCAATGTCTTGGTGCGCGGATTTTTCACACGAGATGCTGTACTTGGCTCGAAAAGGGTTGATCTCCCATCAACTCATTTCATCATTCCCAAGTCATTTCTCCTCACGGTTCATGGAGTACTGAGTACTCATGACATTGGCCCAAGGGCTGAGAAACTGGAGCGCGGAGCGATTGCTTCGTGCGCGGAGTCGCGGTGACCCAACACTACTCGACCGTGCGGGAGTGCGCCAACCGCGCTGTGCAGGCAGGCTTCCAAGCTGTGGCCATGAATTATCGGGCTGTGGAGCACTTGGAGTGGCTTGGGAGAAGTGGTACCGGGAGAAGTGGTACTGAAGGGATCCGAAGGATACGGTTTTGATGTATATATATAATTACATTGCAGCCGCCCTGGCGGGGGCACTTTTTCACCCGCAGACGCATCCGCCTAACGAAGACTGATTCGCAGCAGCTGTGTATGTTTGATGAACCCCGAAGACACCTAGCGAAGACGGATTCCCCGAAGACGCCCCCAACTCCGAAGACGGATTCCCCTCCGAAGACGCCTAGCGAAGACGGATTCCCCGAAGACGCCCCCAACTCCGAAGACAGATTCCCCCCCGAAGACGCATAGCGAAGACGGATTCCCCGAAGACGCCCCCAGCTCCGAAGACGGATTCCCGCCCGAAGATGCCTAGCGAAGACGGATTCCCCGAAGACGCCCCCAGCTCCGAAGACGGCCCGAAGATGACAGATTCCCTGAAGACATGTCCTGCGCGACCTTGCGCATACAGTGGATTCTATGTATCCACTTGGCAGATTGCTTCGCGCGCCCAAACACAGCAGCGCATCAGCTGTGCTGCCCTGCTCAACGCCAGTGAAGTAGCTGTGGTTTTTGTCCGCTTTGTGGGGTTGCACCAGGTTCCTTACAATCCAGAGAAGGAACAGTTGTCTTTTTTGGGGTGTGTGTTTTGCTTCTCGCTCTGCAGTTCCATCAAGTCGGCTTGCAAGCTTGCCTGCGTGTGAACAAGTTGGTATGAAGAATCACCTGGGAGCATTGGTGTGAAAGGCGGCGTGTATGCACATGGTTTGTTTATATGCACCACATTTTCTTTTCATGTTAATTGTTTGACGTTATGCAGTACATGGTGATTTGCATAACTCTATTTTGTTCGCGCTTTCGGTCCAATGATGGTGCGGCGCAACCGTGTGCTGCTGCCGGCGGCGTTTGTGTGTTGGCCGCGGCCTCAGGAACGGAATGTTCATGATTTCGCCGGATTTGGTGGTGCTTGGGGTTTATAGGTATTGAAATGAAAGTGTATGATGTTACACGGGTGTTTGGACTTGCGATGATCCCCTGCTTTTATTACTTTGGGGTTTCCGCAACAACTGAAGAATGCAAATTCTCCGCGCCCCTCACACATGGAAACATTTTTTCACAAAAACAACGGTCAATTATGCAGCCAATGCCTCGTTGTAACCGAGCACAAGGCAAATGTCACGCGCCCCTCGTTTGTGCCAGGTGTTGGTGCCACGTAAGCCATGCAAAAAAAAAGTGCTGACACGAAATCTAAACATTGTTGATGCCCATAACTTACTTGGCCGGCGGTTGCCCTAAGTGGACTTACAACCTAGGTTATACATATACCTAACCTAGTTATAACCAACGTTATAAGTCTGCTAACCTCTATAGAAGTTAGGTTTTACTTAGCTTGGACTTGGCTCAGCCTATAAGAGTTAGTAAGTAGTTAGGTTTGACTTAGCTAAGTCAAAGTTAAGTGGGCTAAGACTTAGCTTGGACTTAGATTCGACTTAGCTCAGACTTATAAGTCCAAGCTAAGTCAAAGCTAAGTCGAGGCTCAAAAATTGAAGCAAAATCAACCCAAAATGCATCGAACGCAGCCACCAACCGACAACCAGCCAGCATACGGCCGCGCCGTTATTCTTTGTTACATTCCGCGTCGTGGCCGCTTGTTGATTCTTCTACGGTATCCTATAGAGTACTTGGCGCAAATAGGATGCGTCAAGCAGTCACATGATATAAAGTTTTGACATTGTCTTCATCCTGAAGTCTTTGAATCATTCACCCCAAAGACTTAAACATTATCACAATTCTATTTAGACAAGTTTAGAACTTGTCTTCATCTTCAATATTTTTGACAAATGTCAGAAAATACTCTGACATATATCAAAAACTGACAAATGTCAGAAACATATTCTCACAATTGTCAGAAAAATCTGACAAATGTCAGACAATTGTCAGAAGATTCTGACAAAATCTGACAGTATATCCTTTGAAAAGTAAATGTAAACAACAATTTGTCAGAACAATATGACAATATTGCCTTTTAAAACTAAATCTAAGCTAAAATTTGTCAGAAAATTCTGACACATGTCAGAAAATATTTGTGTAAATAGTAAATATTTCTGACATTTGTCAGACAAATATTCTGGCCAATGTCAGAAAATTCTTACAGATGTCAGAAAAAGTCTGACATTATTATATTGTTTAAAAGTTACATGTCAACAACAATTTGTCAGAAGACTTCTGACAATATATAAGTTTAGTTAAACTGTGATACACTAACTATGATAGTATTAACAGTGTAATTAACCAAAAACTATATTTTTCAATGTATTAAAAATAGTTTCAAATATGTGATGCCTGTTGATGCTGGCTGTTGATGCTCAGATGATGACTGTTGATGCTCGCGTGAGAGAAAAGTCTACCAGCGCACTCCCAGACCGAGCTTTCGGTTTTCAGTTTTCATTGTTATTTTTCAATGATTGCCTTAGACTTAGCTTTGACTTAGCTCAAACTGATCAAACAAGCTAACACTTAGCTTCGACCTCGCTCGGACTTCTAAGTCTTAGCTAAGTCCAAGCTAAGTCCAGGCTAAGTCCAACCTAAGTCCAAGCTAAGTTACCCTGAGCTAAGCCCAAGCTAAGTACTTACTAAGTACTTATAAGTCCAAGTTAGACTTAGCTAAACTTAGCAAAGTCCCACCGGCCAAGTATACCTTTGTGGCAGGTGTTTTATGCTGTGTGGGTCCTTGGCTTTATAAATTCTAATTGAATCATTTGCGGCTTGGCAATTTGCGGACCAGACAAACCCGGGGGAGGCTGGCTGTGCTCCCACTTGTGCTCCCTTGGTCCTTCATTGGTTCGCCAACATCTCCACGTGTCCGTGACCTTGGCCGCGATGGTCAAGGAGCGCCTGGAAAAGGTCTAAACGCCAAACGACCTGTCCATGTCTTTTTGAAGGTCTTGAACCAAAGATTTGGTTTCATTTGTCCATCCATACCTTGGCATCTGTTCATCCTTCAAGTGGCTGTGCAGCTCAATTAATTTGTTTTCTGAGGTGACAATATCCTCAATGGGTATTAAGTTTATCACTAGAAACTGGCCATTTCAGAGATTTTACTGGGCGCCAATTTGAACACCCTCAGCGTGAAGTCATGAAGCGGGTGCTGGTGCAGGAACCGAAAATGCCCCTCATCTCTTGCGCGCCCGAGGGATGCAGAGCGTGGCAACATACTGGGGAGGTAAGATGTAAAAGTGTAAAGGAGATAAAAGGAATACGAACGAGTACTGTGCCAATGAAACTAGAATATGAAGGCAGTTTTTTCTGGTCAACCCCCATTACTTTGAAAACATTTGAAAGCTAGTATTCTGAAACCCAACATGATGAAGAATGAAGATACACATGTGTAATCACGTAGATTCACAGTGATTGGCAATTGCATCATCAAGAATAGTCACAGTACTGTAAGCATGCTTTGTTTCGGGCGGCAAGGTGGCAACGATCCCTGGCGAAGGGCAAACAACCATTGCTTACCCCAGTTGATTCATAGAAATCTACCGATTTCCACTGGACCCGGAGATGTTGCAATGTTTTGCAGATCTGCTCTCGGCCGTTTCAGTGCTAAGGAGTCGACGAAATCTTTTTGGCGATCACTGTAAAAGAGAAATTTGTTGAAGTTTGGTTCGAAGGGGGTAGAGGCTTACAACTTACAACTGTGTTCCTGCTCCTGACAGAAAAGCTAAAACCGAAACGCATTCATATGATCGTGGAATTCCTTGGATTTCATGGCTTCAGGTCCAAACGAAACATTTGACTGTGACTGTTCCGCCATAGCCATAGCCCAGACATATCCAGGCATGCTTTGTTGAGCTTGAAGCCACCACTTGCACAGACGCAGCCAGAGCAAGCTGCTTTATCTGTCCGAACTTGACGCAACGTGAAGCGGAGGTAAAATCATTTGGCCGTGGAACCAGAGCGGCCAGTCATGGTGCTCAAGTCAGACTAACAAGAACAAATCTTGGTTATGAACGGAAGCTAATCTTGGGAAGCAATGAAAATCAAATAAAATCTTGGCAAATTTTAACGACGTCACCGACGTCACCCTGAATTAACGACCTAGGTTTGAAATTAAGATCTTGCCCCTTCATTTTAAGTAAGATCGTCCCACTAGCAAGCTAAGCATCTTTTGGCAGCCTGTTGCTTCAACGGAAAGCCCTCACACACAAATCTAAAAGGTTGATGATTGTTACAGCATACCCCTCTTCATTTAAGCGACCACCGTTTTCTCGCCGCGCGTGCAAGACACACAAACAAGCACATTGCTGGAAAGACGGGACGCTTGCCAAGGCTGGGGGTTTGAGCCCGGGCGTTCCGCTTCCGAGGGCGCGTTTCTGACCGCTGGGCCGCTCACGCGGGGGTTCGCGACGGGCCGAAAGCAAACAAGAATTGGCGACGTTGGGTTTCACAATGGTTGAGTGGTTCGGGGCCTTCTGGACGCGCTTTCCCGGCTTACCGAGCCCCAGTAAGCAAGGAAACTGCGACGAGCAGCTCAAAAAGGCAGCCCCATCAAAAAACCCTATTTTGGCGAAATGGGGTTTTGCGACGGCTGGTTGGCTCGGGGCCTCCTGGACCCGTTTTCCCGGCTTACCGAGCCCCAGTAAGCAAGGAAATTGCGACGAGCAGTTCAAAAAGGCAGCCCCCATCAAAAAACACCATTTTGGTGAAATGGGGTTTTGCGACGGCTGGTTGGTTCGGGGCCTCCTGGACCCGTTTTCCCCGGCTTACCGAGCCCCAGTATAAGTAAGGAAACTGCGACGAGCAGCTGGAAAAGGTAGGCCTCCTGGACCTGTTTTCCCGGTTTACCGAGCCCCAGTATAGGAAACCGCGACGAGCAGCTCGAAAAGGCAACCCCCGTCAAAAAACCTTCTTTTGGCGAAATCGGGTTCTGCGACGGTTGGTTGGTTCGAGGCCTCCTCGACGCCTATTCCCGGTTTACCGAGCCCCAGTTGAAAGCTCAAATACCGGATTTTGGAACCACCTCCAAAGCCAAACTCTTGTAACCCACACGACATGAGCGTAGGGTCAACACCCCCAAGCATTGCAAGCATTGGAGAGATCGAAAAGAGAATACGCAATGCTGTTCCCAGGCATCCAGTCCACTGCCTGCAACCGGATCTCTCCCAGTACAGAAGATTCAAACAGCGGCCTCGCCATGCAGGTGCTCACCGCAACGGTCACCCCAACCAAGCCACGCCCACAACTGGGTGCGTGCGCTGGTTGGGGTGCTAGGTCTTCCCAAGGTCACTTAATTTCGTATTTCCAACGACGTCGCATAATTTCGTTTCCAATTTAACGAAAATAACCGACGACCCACAATTTTTTTAATTTGCTCAGATAAACAGTTGATCCGAGTCACTGTAAACACGGTGAGAATGACGTCAGGAGAGGCCCGGGGTATTTCGAAGCTATAAAGCACAACACCAACAGATTTCGCGCCTGACGCTGCCGCCAACTTCTAACCCTGGAAACGGCCCCCGGTCGCAAGGGCCATTTCGATTCAAGGATATAATCACGCAACGTCAATGGGGAACTCGGCCTGACGCGGGGAATGTGGCGTCAATAGCCGGCGTCAGGGAGGTATGCGGCGTCAGACAGGAACGCGGCGTCATGGAATGCGGCGTCAATAGGCGGCGTCAGGGAGGTATGCGGCGTCAGACAGGAACGCGGCGTCAAGGAATGCGGCGTCAAGCAGCGTCAGGGGGGTATGCGACGTCAGACCGGAACGCGGCGTCAGGGAATGCGGCGTCAATAGGCGGCGTCAGCGGGGTATGTGGCGCCAGACCGGAACGCGGCGTCAAGGAATGCGGCGTCAATAGCCGGCGTCAGGGGGGTATGCGCTGTCAGACCAGGAAGCGGCGTCAGGGAATGCGGCGTGGCTAGGCGGCGTCAGGCGGGGAGGCGGCATCAGTGGGGAAAGGAGCGTCAGGGAATGCGGCGCCAACGAGTTCCCAACACGGCGGCAATAAACGGAGGCAGCGTCAGGCGCAAAAGTGCCCCCACATGGGCGGCCGCCCTGTATAACTATATATATATGTTGTAATATGTATAACAATTCATTGTTATTACTATATATATATACACACATGTATTTGTTATGTGTATACATATATATATATATACATATGTCTTGTTGTTCCCCCAAGAACTAGCTCAATCCAGATCTGGCAAGGTTCCTTAAAACCTGGCAGCCCACTTCCAGGTGTGGACACCTGCACCTACCGCGAACACAACCACTCTTCTGTGGATCATGATGGCGCCAATAACCAATGTAAACCGTAGACTCTTGATTCGCCCCCCCACAACCAGAATAGGTTTTTCAATCCAAATGGATTGGTTTATCAATCAAACGTCTATATACATTAATGCACCAATGGTGTCACCAAGGATCACATCTCCACATATCGGCTGTGCAGACACATGGAAGGATCTGCCTGAAGTCTTAGATGTCATTGAGGCGAGCTGCGAGTTCTGGAAGCGGGATCGGATGGGGTGGGTGCGTGCCAAAAGCATGGGGGACACATCAAGAACTTTTCAAGATGTTGGTATTCTGGAGCGCTATTGATGTGGTCCAAGCAACTTGTTGCAACCGGCATCATTTGATGTTGGCGCCTTGCTTTGACTTCCTTTGACGTTGGTGTTTGTCTAAAGCTCACAAAGCTCACACTGTTTGGAGCATGTCTTTTTTCCCCGGTCACCGTGTGGTCACGTCAAGAGTCGATGGGCCGGTGGAGCCGGAATCTCTTGCAGTTCCGAGCGAGGCTGAGTGCCCTGCGCAGCCGATCTTCGCCATGGGCTTCTCCATGGGTTCCTGGGATGGCCGAGCAAGCTGATGATAGGTGACATATGGTGATCAAAGACTAAAGCGATCCTTACTTATGGCCAAACAACTGAACAGTGGCCACAAAAAAATCACCAAAACGACATAGTCTCGGTCGGCATTCGAAGTGATGTTTCTCCAGCTATGTTGAGGAGTTGCGACTAGGCAAGCACGCAGAATGCTCAGATCTTCACATCTTCAATCCCACGTTTTTCACAGGTTTTGGGGGTCTTAGATGTTGGCGGAAAAACACCTTCGTCTCTTTAGCCTAGAGCGAACATGCTGCACCGGGAATGATGTTTCCTTCCGATTTCGCTTAGTGAACAACATGCTTATCATGTTACATCCATCAGGTTGCACGAGCCCCACCCGCTTAGGAATCCTCAACTTTCTTTGAGTGAGTTGGATGATGATGATGATGATGATGATGATGAGCCGTGTTCTGTGGAGCTCAGGGGGCACGATCCTGACCAAGTACTTGGGCGAAAATGGCCAGCAATCCCGTGCCATGGCAGCTTTTAAAGGGAGGTGAACGGCACCGTTTTATTGGGACTGTGGTAGGGACTGGTGGGATTCATGGGACAGACGTGAGGCCAGCATTTCTTGGGATGATTCCGTTCTTTTCGGACATTGTCTTGGCATCTCTTGGTATTGAAAGACCTACAACAAGACGCCCTTGGAAGGTAATCTGAATCTTATCATTTCAGTCCTTCTGAGCGAAGACTTTTTCTGTTCCGCGCAACAACCATCCGCCCCGTAAGGGCTTTGGGGCGACCCTTCCTGACCATTCCAGATGATGAGCTGATGGACACCCACAAAAATGCAGCGACGGTGCGGACGTTGCAACCCAGTAAAATGAATGTGGAGAGCTCTGCAGGCCACAAAATTTCATGCGGACGTTGCTTTTGAGCTTCCTGTTAACATCAAATCATACATTTCTTTAACTCTACACTAACATGGAAGCTGCTAATGTGTCCTCCCCCAACATGGAACTCTTGGAAGGGTTTCTGCTCCTACAAGTCTTGACTAACATAGCACCTGAGAATGCAGATTCTAAAGCTTCACTAACATGGATGGTTAAAAAACGTTTTTGATGTCCGGCTTCCTGAGCAAAATAGCGAATGGTATATATTATATATATAAGCAGAATCTTCCTATTCCGAATCTGTGAGGATTGTGGTTAACAAGGAAGCCGCTTTGGGAAGGGGTTGGACACAAAAAAACTGCAACAGAGCGATTTGCTGGGATGTGCTGGGAGTTTTACTTTTTGGTCTGTCTTCCATGTTAGCGTGTGTTTCTTGAAGTTTCTTGTGTGCCCGCGGGCCCCCGCAGAGCCCGCGCGAGTTCACCGTGCCGAGCCAGTGAGCCCGCGAGCCCGCGCCAAGTGTCGGGCCCGCGGGCCACGCGAGGTGACCCTCACACGGGTACCATTCCCTTGTGTGCTCGGAATTTTTTTTGGCCCAGCTTCCATGTTAGTGTGCGTTTCTTGCATGAGCGGCATGTGTACAGGCTGGCTGAATTGATTTCTTACCTTCCATGTTAGCGTGATTCATGTAGATGGCCGCATTTGTGCACCTTCCATGTTAGTATGTGTTGGCGCCCCCGTCAGATCACTTACACTAACCTAGCAGGTAGAACATAGTGTTTTGAGGTGCTGTTAGTGCACACTTTTGAGTTTTCAGGTTCTAGGTTAAAATAGGAAAGTATGTATGTATACTTGTTTATTTTAAAATGTACATTTTTTAAATGTCACTTATCATTAGCCTCACCACTCTACATTGTCAATCTTGTCCCCGATCTCACAGCATTGTCATATCAAAAAGACACCGTGTTTTGTGTTTTTTTGTTTTTCGTGTTTTCCGTCCAATTCCCTTTCTTCGGTCGATCATTGGAATGCAAGCACGGTCCCTGCGCTGTTGTCGTTCGGTTCACGAGGCCTCCGTGCGGCAGTGGCCGTCAGCTGCCCATTGGCCTACCCTGCCCACCAAGCAGAGCTGGAGAAACGTCGCTCGGTCAATCTCAGTAGGCTGAGAGATCCGGGGCTGGGCAAAGCAAGGAGAAGTGATGTAGATGTCCAAGAACACGAAGAATTGCAAGCCTTTCGTACAGAAGGCATCTGGCAGATGGACGAATCCACCCTTCTCGATTTTGTTCCGGGTGGTTTGCGGTTCTCTGAGCCCCGAAACACTTCTGTTTCCTGCTGGAACACCTCACTGAGGAAAGTTCCTCAGTTTCTTGATGGCCCAGCCCTTGAAGGCGGGGAAGTCGAGTCGATGCTCCGGGGATCGGCGGCCACCCCGGAGGTCCCAGTCAGTGCCAAACACCAGTCGCCTTCGAATCAGGATACTCTCCCAGAACCAACATGGAAGTGGATGGCACCTCCTGTTTGTAGTGGATTTCATGGTCTTCCTTTCGGGGTCATTCTCCACGTAACCATGTTAGTTCCAGGGAGTGTACGTCCAATTCGACTCCCATTGGCACACTCGACGACGTCCTTCACCGGTCGTGCCCCAGCGGTCAGCTTTGGCTCTTCAAGAAGCGAGAGCAGATCGCCAAGCTCTGGCCCCACTGTGAGATGTCGCAGGCGCGCGGGGGGTAAACCGGAAAACAGCCATCCGCTGGAATCAACCCTTCTAGGACCCTTCCAATGAGTGGTGCGCGAGGACGCTTTTGGGCCGAAGTGCATGTTCTTCTTTTTCGTGTCTTGGGGCATTTTTGGACTGTGGCCGTCGGCCGTGTTGAAGAAACAAGATGGCAACTATGTGGGTTTGATGCCTGTGACGACTCCTGTCTTGGCCTTTCTGACCTGCGACAGGTGATGATGAGCGGATCGTTGCTGACCGTGGCTGGATACTTCTTTGAGCCACGGTGGCACTGATCGAGGTTGCGAGTGTGTGCGCCAGACATACGGCGCCTCTCACGAGAAGTTTCACCATGTTTTCCAGACATACATCTTCTTTTCGGGTCCACCTTCATTCTGATAGAACTTGCTTACATCCCCCAAGGCCCTCTTCTTCACTTATTGAGTTTTGGTTTTGTCGCCGTAACTCACTCCGTCGGAGCCGGTTCCTGGCTGAGGAGCATCAAGGATATCACACTGTCTCCGACTACTTCCTGCAGCGGCCCAGCGGAAGAAACGCGCAAGAAAACATGCTCGAACAACTCCAAAAGAATCCAAAAGTCGTATTCAGAATGCAACCCAATTGAGAACTGCGGAAGCTTGTTTGCTACTGCACTACTGCACAGCAGGGTCTCCAAGTTGTATCCACCATCCGTGTCCCAAATCTCCTTCACCCAGCATAGCCCGAATAAAATCTATAAGGGGGGCTTGCGCGTGCTCAACTTGGAGGGAGATCGTGCTTAAGAGGCCCAAGAGCTCTTTTTAAACAGTCCCGGGGTGCTTCAATGTGCTTGGTTTGCAGGGTGGTTTTGGGGACCTCCATGCAATGGCAATGTCAGGAATGACCCCGAGCCCGTCTTGCAGCGTATTGCTTGCCCACTGCTGATCCTTGGTGCCAAAGATGATCCCTTGATGATGCCTGTGCCGCGGGAGACCATCGCGCAAAATAAGCGCCTGATTCTGGTGGAGACTGAAGATGGCGGACATATGGGATGGGTTCCTTTGGCAAGATGGTCTTCTTTTGTTTCGGTTCACGGTCTCGAGTGGGTGCGGAAGTGTAAAGGATTGGACCCCTTCGAGCCTTTCGACCCCCTTCTGAAGCTTTGAAGGAGCATGAAGCTTCCCCTTGGAGCATGAGCGTTGAGGATTTCCTTCGCTGCAGTGTTTCAAATCTTTGATGCCAAATTCCAAATGGCACCTTTTCCCCCAGCAAGTTTCAGGATTGATCAAGGGTTGAATCTGCGTGGCTCTTTAGGACTTGAGAACTCCAGACCGGCGAAATGGTGCAACTGAAGAAACACAACAAAAAGATCGGGTTTTTAATTGGGCGCAAGATGGGCCGGTCTACGGGCTTCTTGTCATTTGCTGTTCAAAGCTGTTGGTCAACCGCCGTCAAGGCGCCGGGGGGAGCCGCTTCACAGCGGATGTAGAAGCTTTATGAAGCTTTTTCAGGCATCGCATGGAACTCAAACAAGACATGCATGGATCTAAGAGGCCAACCAAAAAGCCCTGCTCCAACGACTGAAAGCTTTCTTCGCAACCTTCGATCCTGCCAGTCAAACCGGTCACCGCTCTCTGTCTGGTTTGCACGTCCGATGCAGGCGGGCAAGGGCACGCTTGGGCCCCAAATCTTCGGGTCCTCTTGGGCTGATGGCTTGGCGGCGCGTGCTTTGGATGAGACTTGAGACTGAAATGAACTCCCCACAGAGAGCTTTACAAGCATACATACATCTGTACCGTGTATATATATATATATGTATGTATACTGTGTATATACTTGATGCTGTGTGGGCATAGCTCTGGCACCACCATCCCCTCACGAAGCCAAAGTGTTCAACTGTGCCATCAGCTAGGTTTCCTGGCCTTCCATGCCAAGATGCCAGTGCTCCGCTCACGTCTCTGAGCAACAATTTTCCATACAGCTATGGTTGTTTTTGGAGCCAGACAAAGGCTACTAAATAGACAAAAAATGTGGAACGGCTTGGAAGTGTTCCAATTCCGCAGCTTGTTTGGCTAACAAGTTAGTGGCACCTGTAAGGGCTTGCTACACAACTTGAGCCACCTGAAAAGCATGGCTGAAGGGCAAAGGACGGTTGCTCTTGTGTTTTTTTGCTTTGTTCAAAGAGGAACAAAGGCTTGAAGGAAGTGGCATTTTTTTCTCCTCACGAACATCTTGGTCTCAGTAGGGTTGATTGTGAATTGGGACAAACTGCGGCCTTGTCCCTTTGCCATTCAAGAGACGTGATCTGAATTTGAAGATCTGCAACACACATTTCTCGAATTGACAATGCCAAAGTTCTCAACAGGTGAGGCCCGACTATCCTCTCTAGCGAAGACATCACGCCGTGGCCATTTCTTGGGCTCCAGAACCGTGCTTTGCCGTGCCGGCTGCTTTGCCGGGTTGGAGACAGAGGCACGCCCAAGGGTTTATCATGTTTTATCGATTTTGTGTTTTCTTCGTTCTTCTTCTTGATCTCTAGCTAGGTTTCTTCAGTTGGAGAACTTTGGGTTCCTCAGCGCATGCTACATCATCCATGGCTAGAGGCTAAATTGGGTGCCTGGTCATGTCATCGTTGGCCATCGCTGGCAGGCTCGAAGGATGTCGCCTCTGCCAGCATTTTCTGACCCGGTCTTTGAGGTGGGACTGTGGTGTGGGGTGAGGCAGACCAGCCACCTGAGCTCAGCATGGTCAGCTTGTCCCAAGGTGACCCTCTCAGTGGTACAAGGCAGATGACTCCGACGTTTGGGGTTCAAAGTGGTCAATGACGTCGAGTAGGGAACAAGCCATAAGGCCTGCCTTGGTAACTTGGCAAAGAAGATCTTTCCTTTGCAACATGTCACAAAGCTTCTATTCATCATCATCGTCATCATCATCGTCATCATCATCATCATCGTCATCATCATCATCATCGTCATCGTCGTCATCATCGTCATCGTCATCATCATCATCATCATC